CCCGAAGAAGAAAGGAGGTAAATCACGATTTCCCTCGCTAGGGTGGAGACCGAGGGTGTTAAAAAGATTTTGGAAACTGACAAAAAAAACATATCAACAGACGAGGCCACGAAATACCCCCAGCGAGCCAGCGAGCGTGGCTTTCATGTTGGACATGTCGTGTGTTTTTCTTTGGGAGTTTTTGCTTTCTGCTGAGCCAGCTGCAGCTGTAGCCCCCGCCCCCCCACCCCCGCAGCCCACTCCCCTTCCATTGAGAAGGCGGGGAACCGCACGGAGGCCAACCAGGAACAGAACGTTTCCATCCGAAGTGTGGAGAGGTTAAGGGGCTCAGCCGCCATTCACGGCCCAGGGGGAACGAAGGAATTGGGGGGTTGGAGGGGGGGGGGGGAAAAACCCCCGGAATTTTGCAGAATTTCCCACACCAGACATTCTACTTCTAGTCTCCCCTTACGACTGCCGTGCAGTCCGAAATTCCTGTTGCTAAAGCGAGAGACATCCACTCAGCGAATTTCAGGCAAAAAAGGGTTGTTGCAATCTTCTTCTCTTTTAAAAACAAACAAACAAACTTCGGTGTTGCAGCACTCACAACTTCTGGAGGTGGTAGTGTTGTGCTTCCAGCCACAACCAGCAAGACCACAAAGCTCCCCCCGTTTTATGAGTCCCGCGCTTGACCCAAGAGGAGGAGGAGGATGGGTTGTGTAACATTGCCCCGTGTTGCTGCTGCTGCTGCTGCTGCTGCTGTGTGTGTGTGTGTGTGTGAGTGTGTGTGTAGGTGAAAAGTTGCCCTGGTTTTCCTTTCCACCCCCCCTCTTCCAAGCCCTCCCGCGCTCTTTCTCCCCATTTGTAAATCACTATCAATGCAGACTTTGAACCCTTGGCAAAAAAGGGAAAACATTTTTATTTATTCCTTTTGCCTCTGGCCTGGATGTTCTGTGCCGTTGTATGTATACGACAAACAAGCCCTTCAGAAGGGCAAAACTTTGGCAGCGTTTCCTGACACCCTTCCCCAAAGCACAACCTTTTCAGCAGGGACATACCACACACACACACACACACACACACACACACACAAATGCAGAGTGAGGGCTAAAGCACGAGGCAGCCACTGCATTGCCCTGTCCCCTTTGCAAACTCACATCGAAAACCAGGGTGGTTTTGGGCCAGGTTTTTGTAGGTTGAGGTAGCCGGTTAATTTATTTGGGCCACGTCGTCGTGGCCGCCCGGGGTGGGAAATTCACCGGAAAATGGCAATTAATGCTGGCAAGAGTCAGCGGGGAAAGGAAACCAGGAAAGCCGCTGGCTGGACGCTATCAAAGCTGAGCCCAGCCAGAGCAGAGGAAAAAACCCTCAAATAAATAGTGTTTAATAAATAAAATAAATAAAAGTTCAGAAGGTTTTTTTTTGGACACCTGGCCCGTAGAATTGCCACAAGGGGGACGTGACTGAAGGGATAAAATCAGCATCATAATAGAATGCCAGAGTTGGAAGGGACCTTGGAGGTCTTCTAGTCCAGCCCTCTGCTCAAGCAGGAGACCCTAGACCATTTCAATTTGGGGGCTGGCTTGTGCCCCTTGACCCTCTGCGCCTCTTTTTCTCACCAAAGGGAGCTTAAAGCCGGCTTCAAGGATGGCTTTGGAAGCGGGAGGCGTCAATGGGACGGGACTCGGGGGTCCAGTTGGAGCCAAGATGCTCCCCTAAGGCCTCTGGTGCATTGCAATGGGTCTCTCTTGCAAGCTCTTTACGGAGGGGGGGAGGGAAAGCCCCCCCTCCCTCCTGCCAGGCTTCACTTCCCCCACCCACCCAAAAAGAAAATACGATCCGTCCTGGCTTAATAAAGGCTAACTTGCCCGGGCGTTGAACCCGCCAGCGATTCTCCAGCTGGGGTCATTTCAAGTTCACTCCATGGACTTTTGACGGCCTTGTGTGTCTGTGTGTCAGTGTGTGTGTGTGTGCATGCAGGGAAAACAGCCAGCGGCTCCTGCCGGGATCTCTCTCTCGCATTCAGGCCTGTAACACAACACGGGGCACCCCCAGGCACCCACTGGGCGGCTTCACCGGAGCTCCTCCTCGGAGGGCAGCTGCCTCCCGCCAGGCCTCTGCCAAGGAGGGGAGGGGGCTGCCCCACCCTCCTCTTCCTGCCGCTTCATTGAGTCCTCGTCTGGGCCAATTGCTCCTCGCCATTAGTGCGTTCGGGAGTCGTCCTGATGCTGTTCCCTAGTTTGGGCGATAGGACGTCTGCGGGAAAAGCACCCAGCTCTATAAGCACCAAGGAACCCACAGACCTCCTCCTCCTCCTCCTCCTCTTCGTCCTGATGATGTTCCCTTGTTGGGTCGTGAAATGTCTGCAAGAAAACCAAGCTCAGAGACCACCAAGGAGCCCACAATCCTCCTCCTCCTCCTCTTCCTCTCTGCAAACCCAATTCCTTTCTAGCTCTGATGATGTTCCCTTGTTGGGTCATGAAATGTCTGCAAGAAAACCACGCAGCTCAGACAGCACCAAGGACCCCACAATCCTTCTCCTTCAGAAATTAAAGAGAAAGAAGATTGCAGATTGTTGATCAACCCTGGAAGTCTTTATTTGACCAGTGGCTGGCAAAGAGAGGTGGAGATTAAGAATGTAAAATTTATAATGTTAAGCAATCATTACCCAGGCAACACGATGCTCATTAAGCACTAAGAAATGCATTTAATAGAAAACCAATTAAAAAGTTTTTTTTTTAAAAAAAGACATGTTTGGAAGGCTCCGGATGAATTGCCCTCTGCCTTTGAGGCAGTTGAGGAGTTTCAAAGATTGCACCAGGAAGCCCTGAATCGTGGCTAACCCTGAATCGTGGCTATGAACGCTGCTTTTGCTAACCCGTCGTCCAAAGCTAGTCCCCTTCTCGTTCTCAGCCAAGGCGTCAGGCCTCCTGCCACCAGCCATGTGCCAAAGTTTGGCACTCTTCACAAAAAGACAGCCGCTCGACAATCCTTCCTTTGGCCGGCGGCCGGCCCCTGTCTTTTTATTATGATTATTATTTTTGTATTATTTTTTATTGTTTTTTTTTTTTTCAATCCGAGTTCTGGGCCTTTGGCCGATCCTCTCCCGGGAAGCCAGTCGATTCCCCAGATCTGTTGGGGGGGGGGGGGGGGAGGGGGGGAGAAAAGTAGTCGGAGTGATCAGGTTATAGCCAGGGAAGTGGGAAAATGCCCAGATCTGTTGGGAAACGATCTGGAGGTTGCAAGCTTCAAACAGGAAGTCCTGGGCTTACGACCATTCGTTTAGTGTCCGTTTGAAGTTAAAGCAGTACTGAAAAAATACCCCTATATGTGTGTTATGTCTATATCTGTCAAACTACCATCTATCTATCTGTATTCTATATCCCTTATTATATAACCACCTATCTATCATCTATCTCTATATCTATCTATATCTATCTATCTCCATCCATCCATCCTTCTTACCTATATAGATAGATAGCAGGCATCGGAATTTCTTTTCGATATGTGTCATCCTGTACACAGAAAAGCGACAAAGGAGGTTATCTTCCCTTAAACGTATAGGAGTACCAGTCCTTAGGGTGTAAATTATTTAGCTACGTGTAGGGTCGTTACGTCCTGGACAATTAATATCCAGAATTAATCCAGACAATTAATATCTTGTCCTTTTTCTTTTTTCTCATCTTGATGACAGTTTACAGGAACTTTGTCTGACGGTCTGGGAAAGACCATGGATAACCGGCATCAGACGGAGCGGGAATACATTCGATACCACGCGGCAACCAGCGGTGAACATCTCGTGGCCGGCATCCAAGGCCTGGCTCATGGTAAATCCGTTATTATCAAGGCTGTAAAGTTTTCCGCCTGTGGATATATTTCCAGAACATTGAGGCTGTCCTTGGGTATCTTTCAGTTTTGATGAAAAGGAGGACCTGGGGGGGGGGGGGATCTTCAAGCTTGGCAAGTTTAAGACATTGTGGGCTTCAACTCCCAGAATTCCTGAGCTAACATGACCGGAGGAGGAATTCTGGGAGTTGCAGTCCACAGGTCTTAAAAGCTGCCAAGTTTGAAGATCCCTGATGTAGGGTCTCCTGCTTGGGGGCGGGGGGTTGGACTAGATGACCTACAAGGTCCCTTCCAACCATTTATCTCAAGGGTCTTCAAACTTGGCCAGTTTAAGACTTTGTGGGCTTCAACTCCCAGAATTCCTGAGCTAACGTGACTGGAGGAGGAATTCTGGGAGTTGAAGTCCACAAGTCTTAAAGCTGCCAAGTTTGATGACCCCTGGATTAGACAAACATTTGATTGAAATGATGTAGGGGGTTGGACTAGGAGACCTCTAATAACTCTGTTATTCTATTCTTTTCTGTTCTATATTCTGTATTATTCTATTCTCTATATTCTATATTATTCTATTCTGTGTTCTATTCTAATTCTATTCTATTCTTATTCTACTCTACTCTACCCTACTCTATTCTAATTCTATTCTATTCTACATTCTATTCTGTTCTATTCCATATTCTATTATTATTATTATTATTATTATTATTATTATTATTATTATTATTATTATTATTATTATTATTCTCTACCCTACTCTACTCTATTCTACATTCTGTTCCGTTCTATTCTTATTCTACTCTATTCTATTCCACAGGAGAGGCCATACGTTGTGCACACTGACCTCTATCCAAAATCATGCGAGCCGCTGCCTTTTGCACCATTTTGCCACATCTTGTTCAAGCTCTTCTAATAAATATTTGTCTTTTCTCTTTTCACTCCCCCCAAACCAGGCATCATTGGCGGGTTAACCAGCGTGATCACCTCCACGGTGGAAGGGGTGAAGACCGAAGGGGGAGTTAGCGGCTTCATGTCCGGTCTCGGAAAAGGACTCGTTGGGACGTTAACCAAGCCGGTGGCCGGAGCCCTGGACTTCGCCTCGGAGACCGCCCAAGCCGTCCGAGAGACAGCCACGCTGACCGGCCCCAGGTGAGTCAAACCGGTCGAGTCGGCTTCCATCCGGCGTCATCATGCAAGCCGTTCTGGACTCATTTAGTGACCATTCGAAGTTACAAACAGCACTGAGATTTTATTTTTTTTGCAGCATCTCCGGGGTCCCATGATCAAAAATCGGACCCTTGGCAATGGACTCGTATTTATGACGGTCCCCTTTGGCGACCATTCTGACTGGCAAAGTCGTTGGGGAAGCCAGATTCCCTTAACAGCCGGGTTGCTGCTTTAACATCTGCAGCGATAACCACCGCGGCAAGAAAGGGTCGTAAAATGGGGCAAATCTCACTTCACCAACATCTCGCTTAAGGACAGAAATAATTGGCCTCGATCGTGGTTGGGAGGGCTACTTGTATTAGATACGTTCGGCCCTTTGAGTTGTCTATAAAACTAACATAACGTAAACAGATAATAATGGAGATATTATTCAGATAAGAATGGAGGTTTTATAAGACCGGGCAGCCGTTTGTCCGGAATGCTATAGGGTCGGTCTCCAGAGGGTTGGTCTGGATGACCTCCGAGGCTCCTTCCAGCTCCGTTCCTCTGAACCCAGCAGTCGAAAGGTGCCTTGACTTTGCCTGTTGCTTCAAGCTTCCACCCTTCTCCCTCCCTCTTCCAGAACCGAGCCAAAAGAAAAAAGAGAGAGAAAGAGAGAGAGAAAATGTACTGCAAATGTCTTTTTCTTGTGTTGGCTGAACTCTGGATACTCCCTTCCTCTCCTGAGCCCAAAATAATCCATTTCTCATTCTGGTGTCACTTATGTAAAGGCTCTTAAAAAAAAAGAATGAAAGAAAACTCTTTCTTTCTTTCTTTCTTTCTTTCTTTCTTTCTTTCTTTCTTTCT